ACATATTATTTTCTCCAGGTGTATTTTTAAACGCACGTTTGAATTGGGAGTTACTTCTTCTTTTTTTGATTAATTTTAGAATCTTTTCGGAGAAATAAATCTTATTAAACTATAAATTTCTTTTTCATATCACTTTTTTCTACGTGTATCAACTGTGTAAAAACTAGCTTCCAAGTTGCTCGAAGGCGGCAGCCACAGACTGGCTAAACTGGCTTTCAGATCCAATCCAGACCGATAAGGGAAGACAAGACGGGAAACTGTCATGGGTAGCTGCTGATGACAAGCTGCCTAAGCTTTTTGACATGATCCACGGGAGAGATCTGGTTATGCCTGCTGCTCTTTGTCGGGGGAAAATTGAACAATTTTCCAATGCATTTAACTAAATGTTTACGATATTGAGAGTGATAAGACTTGAGTGGCTTATTAATGTGATTTCCGGCTCAGGAAAAAAAAAAGAGGTGAGAAGATAGAAACGTTAACGTTAAAGAGATACGGTCATTAGGTTAATGGAATAATATTATTTCAACTTAAAATCTGTACGTTTTTTAATAAATTTTATAAGTATTTAACCTGACCTTGTCTGATCTTTCGCCATTTCGGACATTTGCACACTTCTCGAGATACAAAAAACCCCAATCATAAATTTAATTGAAAAATTACCTGAGACCAAAAACCACAAAAAGTTTAATGCTCTAGCCCCCACAAGTTGGACATTACGTAATTTGATGATATTCCTATTGTCTTCAAGCGAATTCCACTTCACAGAAGCCCACAACATCCGTCTCCAAAGCCACTCAAAATAAAACGTGGAACAATCAAGAATTTTTCCTAGAGATTCCCATCAAATTGTTCCGCCCATGCTTCTGTATTTTGTGCTTGTTTTGTGTTCTCTTCTAGGCTCGTGTCGAATCAATAAATTAATTGACCCACTTTGCCTAGAGTCGAGCAATAGTTTTTTTTTTTTTCAAGAGCTACATAGTTGCCCAAAGCTAATTGCCTGAAGTTGGTCGAAGTTGGACCCAGAGTTTCGTGTTGATTGGCCAAAAGTTTAGCCAAAGCAATAGGAAAATGGCAACATTGAAAACGGGTAAGAAGTTGGCAAACTGAATTTGGGTCGAGACAAGCTCGAATGAGTCTGAAGCACTGAAAACGTTAGCAACTTACATTGTTGAGGGCCAGTAAATAGAACAAAGTGCTGCTCAAACTGTGACTCAAGCAAAGTTTATGGAGCAACAGATTTTGTAAGGTTTTGCAGCGAAACTTTGTCTGAGGTTGAACAGGAATTGAATTTGATATAAAAGAGAGCAACAAAATAAAGCAGACTTTGTAATTACTACAAATTTAGTTAGATTTTAGCTACATAGTGAAAGTTTAAAACATTTTAAACCTCATTTTCCAAACAATGTTTATAGAAATCATAATATCAATTAAGAATATTTAATATTTGTTATTTTTCACATTAAACCTTGAATATTTATTTATGAAAACAACTAAAAACTGACCTGAAGTAAACTCAGAAAATCAACTAGAATAATCAGCCATGTTTACTATGTCTGCTTATCAGCTAAAACCTAGCAAAAAATGTATTTAAAATGTAATCTTATCAAAAAAGTTAAACTCAAAATGTATTTACTTGGCTTCTTACAGAAAAAATGTCTTTATTTTCTTGATTTATAAAAAACGGTAAAATACAGTGACTCACAAATCTTAGCCTAGCTTCGAGTTGAAGGTTGTTCTCTGGATTATGACAGCTTGACATTTTGATTTGATAGTGTGGAAGACTTTTTCAAGTTTTCTGAGTGGCTATAATTGAACTGATTGATTGGCTGCAATGATTGGTGATTGGTGTGATTTTCCAGGGCCAAATAAAATGGTTAAAAATTAACACGGTTAAGACAAGAAAAAGTTTAAAGTTTATATAATTTATACTTTAGTCTAAGTTGATTTTTAAAAGAACTGTAGAAATTTGTATTCAATATTTTATTACTAAATTACAAACAAATTCGATTTAAATTTGTTTAACATGATTATTGATTTTCATCTCTAACGATATGCAAAACTTTTAAAGTTACTGATGCTGTAAATATCACCCAACAAGCTCTTCTTCCCCTTCAACCTTTTGCTGGCACACCCAAATGACCTTGAACTTGGCAGGGCTCAAATGTCAAACCGGTTTCTATAAATATGTAACACAGCCTCCACCTTTTCCCTGCAATTGATGACACAGATAAAATCAATAAAGTAATGATGCTGCAACCGTGTTACAAAATTCCCAGCTTCCTCTCTTAGTAAATTGGAAATTTCTTTCTATTGATTGGGGTCAGCATTTCTAATTTATCAACAGGTGACTCACACACGCTAGACGTGTAAACGGGTTCCCTCAGAGCATCATCATCATCATCATCATCGTCAAGTTTCCAAGTAAGTGCAAAACAACAAAATGTTATAATATACATCTTTTTTTTTCTTCCCCCCTATGGAGATGAGTCAGTTTTTGGCAGACAAGAGAAATTTTTCCGCTGTATGGCAGTGGCAGTCCTTGAACCCAAACTTTGAATAACAAAGAAAAAGGCAGGTGAAAAGGAAATGAAAACACTAATGGAAATTAGATACAGTAGATACCACCTGTTTAGATTGGTTTTGTATAAAAAGAGTTACAGGTTCAAATTCAAACCTTAAATTATGAATTTTTTACTTTAAAAATCTGTTTTAAATATTCATAAAATTTATCTACAAACTCCCCATAGCCTTGAGCTACACTCGTTCCTTTTATTCCAAGTTCAACTGTATTTACTAGGCCTTCAGTCCAAAAGCCAACACCTTGGTGTTGCGCTTGGGTTCATTCACTTGAAGTTTTAATTTTGGCCAACTTATTTTCAAGTTCTGTGTGGGTTTGCTGGCCAACTTTTTGGCATTGTCTTTGTTTCGGCGATGACTGTACTTGACTTTGAGCTGAGTTGATCAGGTCAGTGTTCTTTGCTTGGGAAACTCTAACAAAAACCAATGACAACCACTGTTCCTGCAAATCTTATCTATTTTTTTATACACATGTATTAACATTACTAACAGTAACCAACAACAAAAAAGAAATGACGCAAAAAGTAGCGGAAACAACGTAATAAACCTAGAGCAAGTGCACTAAACAAATCCAATTTGAAAAACCGAAAAAAATAAAGCTGTCTTACCAAAAGTGTATCATTTGCAATGTCAACTTCGTTTCACCAAAATTACGGAAATAAATAAAAGCACATTTAAATGCATGCAAATAGAAATTCGAATTGTAATTCGATTTGTTATTGTTTTTATTTCCTTTCCAGCTTTTGTTTTTGTAAATAGCGGAAAGAGAATATACAAAGGCAAGTGAAGCGTGGCGTAGACAAATTTATAACTGTTTATGTTGGCAAATTTGCAAAAATGTGCGCAATACAAAATGTTAAATGGGGGTTTTTTTGAGGGGCTAAACCATGAAATACCATGTGGAAATGGACTGGGAATAGCAACTTATCTAATATTCAAGTTTTGGCTAGAGTTTAGTTAACAAATTTCAGAGGATTTACTACAGTTTATATAGAAATAAATATTTATTTACCATTGTAACTGTAAGACATAATAGCTTATTTTCTTTTACCACTTTTTAATTAATATTATTTATTATTTTTATTCATTAATTTTTATTTATGAATTTATAAATGAATATTATTTATGATTTTTATTCATTTATTTTTATTAATGAATTTAAAAATGAATTTTATTTATGATTTTTATTCATTTTTTTTTTATTTATGAATTTAAGAATTAATTTTATTTATTATTTTAATTTACAGCTGACAGTGGCTACCAAACTGTGGCTTAAAGTCAAGCTTGTGAAATCAAAGACGCTTGAATTTTAAAATTTAACGTGCCCACACACACACACACACAATACAACTGAAAAAAAAACCCCTGGGCGGCTAGCAGAAAGTAAAACCAGTTTGCAGCCAGAACAAAGCCAAGAGCACCTAGCAACAACAACAAAATTACAGTCAAGCTTTCCTACAACGCATAGACGAGAGAAAAAGTCCTCTATGATAATTAAAAAATATCAATATAATATCGAAAATATTGTAGTTTGAAGTATCGAAATTTGAAGTATCCAGAAATTTATAATCCAATGGGAAATTCTACGTTCTATATATATATATTGTATTTAAAAATATTTAAAAAAAACATACAAAAATAGTAAACGTTACTTTTTGTTTATTTTTTAATATTTTCATATATAAACTAAGGATTTAATTTTTGTATTCCCCTAAATAAATGTACAAATTTCTGGCTTTTTAATAAATATATTTAAATGTTAGAATTTCCAATTGGATTTAATGTTTTTCTATAATTCACATAAATTATGTTATTTAAAAATAAAATTGTATAACCCAAAAATATGACATTTAAGTTGAATTTCTTATCGAAGCTTCACTTTAACTGCAGTAGGGCGTGTGCGTTGGCGTCGCTGTTGCGTTTCTGCTGATGCTTTGTATATTTTAATTTTTTTTTATATACACTATTTATTTGCTACGTTTGGCGGCTGCTGCCCATGACCATGTCAAATGGGTGCGTCTGGGGGGAGGGCGAGCGGGCAGGCAGGATGGGTGGGACAGAGATAGAGAGAACGCGAGCAGATTACATAAAACAGCAATGCAAACATATACTTTCACACCTGGCTGTTATCGCAACAGTTTGACATTGACTGCCAAAAGGCTTGCGGTCTCTATTAACGCGGAATATTTATCTGCGGTGCCTGTGTACTTGCTGTTCACTTTATATTATAAGTTTCCCTATGGAAAACCAATTTGCAATAATCACAAAAACGTCCTTGTACTAAAAATAACACTAACTTTCGCATAAACACACCTACAGTTTCAGAGCAACTGCATTGACATACATTCAGGCATAACTGTTATCTGGCAGTTTTACATCGACTGCTTTGGTGCACTTGTGCTTTTAATATGCGCGTTACTCACGTGGCCGCGTCCTTGGGCACAATCTCCTCCGGCGCAGCATCGCTGGCATCAACGCCAACAACTCCCGGCTGCTCGGCGGTGATTTCCACATCCATTTCCGAGTTGGAAGAGTTTTCCTCGCGTTCACTATCGCTAATCTCAATGACTTCCTCGTCCATGCGGCGCAGCTCCGGTGGTACGACAACTGGAGATATCAGGGCAACAACAACAACAAGGCGAGTCCAGTGGCCAACAAACTTTGTTATTTGTCAATCCGCTTTGTTCCCCTCTTCACCACCTCCTTTTGCGTCACGCACACGTGTGTGTGTAGGTGTTCTGTGTGTGTGTGTGTGTCAACACGCGCGCTGCGTTAGATTTACGAAGAATTTCTGGTGCTTTCTTCCGTCACTGGTCGTCGTTCTGCTGCCGCCTTCCGTTTTCGCCGTGGCTGCGCTTTCCTTGTTGCTAATTTTGCTTAATTTTGGTTAGCCGAACGACCCGACAGAGACGGAGAAAAAGCGTGCGATTCGGAAGGAAAATAAAAAGAGAATTGGTAAAACTGGGCTTCCTCTAAAAAAATCTCAAAAACTTGAAATTTCGCCCTAAAAAATCCAAGTATCTGATATTCGAACCACACCTAATACTTTAACCTCATCTGATACTCGAACCACATCTGGACAAAGCAGTTAAGATCCCAATCAGAACTGCTTATTAATATTTGGTTCCTCCTTACTCACCGATTGGGAAATCTGCCGGCACAGTAGCGGCCTTGCGATTTAGTGCAGGAACCTTACCAAATTTGAATTTTATATACAAAGGGAGCTTGAAAATTGTCAATTATTTTAACGACAATTAACAATAAAGTGTTTTAAAACGTTTTTGTCTTGTTGTCGCCGTTCAGTATGTTGCAAAATATTGCTTTTTAAAATTCTTTTGAAAAACAGTACTTTACCACATCGACTACTTTACGACTGTGCCATATGCATGTTTTTATTACATTATTTTATAGTTCATGCTAAACAAATCATTTTCTTACTAAAACCAGCTCACATTTAAATTTATTTTCAAAGAATCGGTTCTTATCACCAAGGCAAATATTTGTGCAGAAATCATTGCTAACCAGAACCAAATTGAAAAAATACATTTAATGTTGTGCAGCACGAAATCACAAATCAGTGGCATCTTAAAGCTATTCGTGTTGAAACGTTTTTATATTATTTGAATTTCGTAATGCTAAAGTCAGCAGCAATTTGCTTGTACTTTGCAACGGTGGCCTGGCATGTCAATAAATGCCTGGCGGATCCAAAGGATAGTGGTCGATCCGTATGCCTCTTGGACGATCCTCCAAATCAGTGCGGGCAATTCTGCCTTACCGCTCTAAAGCCGATGATAAATCACATTGACCGGCATCAAGACGAGTGGATGAGTGCCTGTGGCGCAACGAAGGCGAACCAAACCCAGGGGAAGCTGGAACACATAAAGAGTCAACTATTATCCTTGCAGTCAGGACAGAGCAATATGCAGGAGGCTCTTCGCAAAGTTGGTAGTTCCCTGGAAACATCTTGGGAAAAGCTTAATCCTGAGGACGTCAAAGCTAGACTGGAGAGGATGGAAAGTCAGAGCACCGCTCAAATGGAACTGCTTAAGGCAGTCAAAACTTCAATGGAGGCCTCCAAACAAGCCGTCCCGCGGGACTTCGTGAAGGCCGGCTCCAGGTTAGAGATAATCCACAAAGTGTTTCTTTGTAATAAATAATGTTTTAAATATTACAGATACTTTTATATCGAAGATAACTCTAAGCAGAATTGGTTTTCTGCCGGACATACCTGTCGTAGGATGGGTGGCTATCTGGCTAGTCCACGGAAGGAAGAACTAGACGCTCTCAATTTAAAAGCTGGCGTGACTTATTGGTTTGGCATTAGCGACTTGGCTGACGAGGGCCGCTTTATATCCTCCTTCAATGGCAATCCGGCTTCTTTTTTGAAGTGGAGGCCAAATGAACCTAATAACGTTAGAAACTCTCAGCACTGTGTGACCTTTAATAATAGGGGCATGGACGATGATAACTGCGATAAAAAATTTAATTTCATTTGCCAGGCTAGCGAAGAAAATCTTTAAGTAAATTGAAATATATAACATACTAAATAAATAAAAAAAATATGTATGATTTTATCATAAAATGCGTTATTTATTTATTATTATTATTAAAAATATGAGAATTACATTTATTTAAATTTTCTTAAATTGTATTATAATATTTGTCTTGTAATTATCAAGAGAGACCCACTGTACATAGAGAATTTAGTTATTAACTGACGACAGCTCGTTGCTATGTATTGGATATGTATCAGTGTGACAAGAGCTAAGCGATACAAAAGCATTGTTTTTAGCGGGCTCATTATATTTGAATTCATTTATGCGACGATAACAAAAGACTTTAATAACAAAATTTATTATTCATAATAAATAAATAAAAGTAAAATAATTATATTTGTAAAGTTACTATTTAGTTAAATTTTCAAAGGTGTAGCAATTTTTTCTTTCATTAAAATAAAGTTTAATAATTTTGATGATGAGAAATATGATATTCGATTTATATTAATATTGCCACTCATCTTTAGGCGTTGCATCTTTAAATAAATTTTTCATATATAATTATGTTTTTTTTTTGTTTTTTAACGTTTAACAGTAAATTAAAAATTCGCTGATTGATAAGTTCCTTTATCTTACGAATAATTGCAATTGTTTCAACAATCCAAGGTGGCACCATAGTATTTTTTGGTATCTCTGTTTCCGGAAATGGTCCTGAAACTCCTCCAAAATGTCCAATCAGTTTTATATCGAATTTTAGCTGTCATCAATATTCAGAGAGCAACAACAACTTGAAAAGACAGTGGAAGGGAGAATCTACAAAGAGAAAAACTCCAAAACCAAGCGAACAAGAAAAATTCGTACATACAACACACTCACAACATATGTACATACATACATACATATGTCGTGTGCAAACCCAATACATAAGTACATACATACGTAAAGACGCCGGCTGTATGTGTGTGCGGAACAATCGGAGAGAAATGGAGAAATGCGATTGGTTCGCAATCGTCAAAAGAAACGCAGAACGAAGACAAATAATAGAAAAAATGAGGAATGAACGACAGAGCGAAGCGAACACACCCATCGCATTAACGGGATATACAATGTGAGTGGCGTACATATATACACACAAGTGTGTGTGTGTGTGGAGGTGGCAAAGGTGCGAGACCAGAATTTATAAGCAATGCTATTTATAAGCATCCGAAAAACGAAACGAATACCAGAAAACGAACGCCCCCGGGCACACAAAAAATAAAAAACACCCACGAGCTCAAGTGCGAGCGAGATGGATCGCCGCCTTCTCTCATGTCGCTCTCCTCTGAATCAGAAACATACAAAAAGAGCCAGAGAAGAAGAAGCTGAAATGTCCTGCAAAGAAATACAAATAAAGGGCAGAAACGAAATGGGAAACGGAAAATAACGGTTGACAAAAAAACCCCACAGAAAGCAGCAGATGGTGTGCGAAAGAGATGCCCACAGACTCTCGGGCCGTCTCCGTCTCACTTTTTAATTCGTTGAAACTTTGTCATTTACTTTTTTAATTGAAATTAAAATGCTTTTCCAATAAGAAAATGCAAATTGCAAGCAAAAGCAAAGCCAAAAGGCAAAATCAGCTGCGCAAACTCCTAATAATCGCAGTTTTTCGTACTTTTTGTTTTGTTTTTGCCTTGCCTTTTCCTGCAATGCATTTATTTTAATTTACTTTGGGTTGGAAACCAACAGAAAATGCCAAAACAATTGTCATTTGTTTATATAAGGCGACGGCCATTGGAGTGAGCGGGAGGGCAGACGAGCGCACTCACACACGTGCATCTCCCTCACTCTCTCGCACACACACACACACTATGCAAATATGCTGCTCACTCATGTTTATTGGTTGCAGCCCACCTGAGCGTGCGAGCAAGATGGCCGCATGCCCGGCCAGAGTGCGAGCGAGAGAGGCAAGCTGAAACGAAATGAAATTGAAACGCAAATGAAATGTAGAATGTTATTCGGGTGGAGAGAGAGCGAGAGCGAGGGAGAGGGAGGTTTTGAATTGAATTGAAAAAATAAATAAAACAAATGTGCGAAAGAGACCTGGAGAGAGAGAGAGAGAGAGAGAGCGCGGCAGGTCCTGACAGAGGATTGTGTGTGTCGTTTTATTACGTTTGTCATTGTGTTTTTTGGGGTTGCACACACACACCCATTCAGTTATCAATCGTATACCACTCCCCTTTTTGCGCGGGTATGTGTGTGCTCGTAATGCGAGACGCAACAAACATTCGTAACTCGTATTCGTATTCGTATTCTGGTTTTGCACAATCGCAGATACAGATACACACACACAGATACTCTTCCTGCTGCTGCTGCTGCGCTGCCGCCGTCGCTGCTGTCGCTGGCGCCGCAAAGTACGAAACGAATCGAATCGAAACACATTTGGCTCGCCTTTCATTTCGAATTTGTCATTCGTAAGCGAAGGTAATGCAATAAAACTTTTGCGCGCGCATTTCTTGCAGTACATAACGGTAACGCTTCGGCCCTGTCGTCCTCTCTCTGTGCCTGTGTGTGTCCGTGTGTGGGTGGGCTAAAAAAATAACACTCGCTCGCTGGCGCTCTCTCGCTCTGCCCGGCATCGCCCCATCTCGCTCTCAGTCGATTCCCATTCGAATGCAATTCGTTTCGTTGATTTCTCGCATTCGTGGCGTAGGAAAGGGGAAGGAGGAACGAAGAGGAAGAGCGGCCGGCAGCGACGCCGACGCCGCAGTCGCCGTGAAAGCAGAGTCCCTGGCATCTCTCAATCTCTCAATCTCTCAGTGACAATCCGTCGGTACGGTACTCGAAAACGGCACACGGATTTTCCAAATTCCGCATATTCGAAATCTCGCGAAATCGAATCACAATTCACAACCCAAAAAATATATTCGAAAAATATATTCAAACGAAATTCGGAATCGAAACAAATTTTTAACACAAACCAAGTGCGCGAGTGTCTGTGTTGACTGTGATTTTGAGTTTTAGAATTATTTTAGAACCCTGTTAAAGGTAAATCTTTGTTCTTTTTCGAAACCAAGGCAAATAGGCTTGAGATCTATGGGTATTTTTTATGCAAATTACTAGATCTTTTGCGAATATATAGCATACAAGTTTCAAAATAGTATTTTCCAATTGGAAATAATTGAATTTCCTTATAAAATGATTCTTTAACATTAAAGCTAATTAAATCGAAGGCTTGACTTATGAATATTAAGAGTATATACTTATTTTAAACCAATTAACTTATAATATGACCCTTGTATTAAACCAGATTAACGTTTACAATTTAAAACCTAGATGGATTCAAATTAATTAATATAGTTTATTGTTTATAAACTAGAAAACAGGGTTTTTAAATATACTTTTTAGTTTTCTAAATCTTAAACCATGATCGATGATTTTCCGAAAAGAAGTATTTGGTGTTTTAGAAAGAAAATACTTCCAAAAAATTATAGTTCAACAGATCATTTCATTAAGATCATTTGTCTATTACGCCAACAGGACTAATCCGTATTATTTCCTCTTCAAAATGTTCGCTATTATCTATATACAAAATCTTCAAGATATAGTTTATATTTAGGAAATGGTATAAATATATATTTAAATATGGAACCATTTGTGAACTTTGTATCATCGCAAGATAGAAACATGCTTTCAGAAGCTTCATATTTTACTACCAAAAACTTAAACCCAGTTTAAAAATAAATAAAAATGGTTTCCCAAAGTTGAACCTTCTATATATTAATAAATTATCCATCTTGGGTTATTATTTACATCCATCAATTCACGGATGTGAAGAAGCGTGTTCGCGCGCTCAATTAGAATTTGCATAGAGAAGCCTAATAAATAATTAAAAATGAATTAAGAGTTCATTAATTATTTATCTCCCTGCCTCTGCCTCTGCTTTTCCTTCTCTCTCTCTCTCTACCTTTTCTATTCCTGTCTAACGTTGTGTTAATTTTTTATCATAGAAAAAAATATCAAAAATAAATAAGAGCAAAGAAACAAATAAACAAGTGTGGGCCACGATGAAGTATGGATTGTGTGACAAGTGAACAGAGTGAAAAGAACAATAACAAGCCCAGCGCGATCAATAACAACAATATCGGGATCGGTATCGGGATCAGGAGCCTAGAGGAGTTGACCAGTGGCAGTATGAACACCACGGCCATGTTGATGCACCACCAGCAGCAGCAGCAGGCAGCCGCCGCGGCAGCTGCAGCGGCCGCAGCAGCCCAACAGCAGCAGCAAGCTCAGCAGGCACAGCACAACGGACGCGACGGCAGCAACAGTTCCCGCGGCGCCAATGACGATCGCCCCAATGGCCGGAGCTCCCACACGGGCCGGGGATCCAGCTGCTCGCCGGCCAGCTCGCCAAGCCGTCATCCGAGCGCCGTCAGTCCCGTGAGCTCCCTCAATCACTCCATGATGCAGCAGATGCAGCAGCAGCAGCAACAGCAGGCTCAGCAGCAGGCCCAGCAGCAGCAGCACCATCAGCTCAGTCCTCCGCCGCATGGATTGTCCTCCGGTAATGGATTGCCGGCTGGACTGCCGCCGCGAATGCCCCACGGTCTGCCGCCCCATTCTCTGGGATTGCTCAACTCCCTGCAGATGATGCATCATGCCTCCCCGCTGGAACTGATGGCCGCCGCCCATCATCATGTGCCGCCAAGGTCGTACAACTCGCCGCCACCCATTTCCACCTCTGATCCCAGCGCCAACGAGTGCAAGCTGGTGGAGTATCGTGGCCAGAAGGTCGCTGCCTTCATTATCAGCAATGAGACAATGCTCTGCCTGCCGCAGGCCTTTGAGCTCTTCCTCAAGCACCTGGTTGGGGGCCTGCACACGGTATACACCAAGCTCAAGCGCCTGGACATTGTGCCGCTCGTGTGCAACGTGGAGCAGGTGCGAATCCTGCGCGGACTGGGTGCCATCCAGCCGGGCGTCAATCGCTGCAAGCTGCTCAGCTGCAAGGACTTTGATGTTCTCTACAGGGACTGCACCACAGCCAGGTACGAACCAGAACCACAGTGCTTTCTTTCACGAGTATTTCCTAAGTTGTCTTTGAGTTTTTATTTTTAAGGAAAGTGGTTAATTTTTGAAGGATTTTTAACGTGGAGTGAATATATTCTTAAGTTTTTGCGAGGCAAGTTTTTGTTTGAAGTAATATTTATCATCGAATTCGATTGCTATGCAAGTTAAACATTAGGTTTCCATTTTTAAAACTAAATATTCAGTGTATTAATGTTTTGGTTTTAATATTTTCCCTTTGAACTTTAAAAATAAATATAAAGTTTTGAAGTTTTTTTTTCTAAAAGTTAAATTTTCCGATAAACTTGTCTAGCTCTCGATTTCGCCTAGTGTAAACGCTCTGTTAGTTGCATTTCTAGTTCGGGGGGCTTGCTCTGCAAAAATTTTCTCATTTCCGGTTTCCGCTTTAGCCAACTTACGCACTCAAGTTGCACCCGCCGTTGCCGCCCCATTTTAATTTTCCAACTGCCCCGAGAGGGGGGGTTGGTTGGCACAATGCAAATAGTTTGTGCATCGATATCGATTAACCCGCAGGGGCAGTCAAAAAACTTTGGTAGCTCGCATTTTCGCCTTTTGCCTTTTCCGATGACATTTGGCGGAAATACGCAATGCAAACGTAACCGGGGGGCCGGGATCCCCCTTTAAACCCCTTTTGCTAACAATCCAGAAAGCTGCGTAATTCTTTTGAACGCCTCTAACAATAGTTGGTGAAACAGTTTTTCCACCTTGTACAACTTTTCCGCCTGTTTTCCATCCGTTGTTTTTTTTTGTTGCAAAATCGACGTGTGCGGTGCCCTGTCAGCTCATTTCCGTTCGAGTGGAAAAAACGACAAGGAAAAAAGGCGCAGAGAAATGGGGTTTTGTTATGTTATGTTAGGAGTTTCTGGGGCTTTGTAGTGTGGGTTTAGGAGAACCTCAAGGAAATGCAATTGTCCTTGGTTACACAAAAGGCAAAAATGGTTATATACTGGTTATAGTAAGTTTTTATAAAGATATTCCAATGGGTTTTATGATTTAAATGCAGTATTCGGGCTATTCAGGATATTTATCTTATTTTTAGAATATTTTTCAACAATAATTTTAAATTAGGAAAAAACGTATAAAAGTTTGCAGAACGTTTCTCAACTCTCTTTTACACTTTATAAATGTTTAAAACCCTGAGATAAATGAATTTTAAATGTCCTGAAATAATAGTCAAAAATCTAATAAGACATTGCAAGTTGTATAGCCTCTATTAGTTTCATAAAAAAAGAGTCAAACTTAATTAAAGGCTAAAATTCCGACCAGAGTAACCCAATATTTGCTGCTTAAAAGCTTTCCGAAAACATTTATGAACGGCAGGGCCCGGCATTGAGACATCAACAGTTGAAAAGATTGCAACCTTGTATTCCAATATCACCCCTTTATATATTTTTTTGGTGTTGTACCCTTTTTATTTTGTTTTTTTTTTTTTGTTTTTGGTTCTTGTAAGCCCATGAAGAGTCCTGCGTTTTTGTTTACAGTAAAGAACGGGTTGGACTGGCCACTGACCACAATGCATTCGATGGAAAACCATCTAGTTAATTATGGAAAAGAGCCCCAGCACATGGAGTGTATAAAGTGTGCTCCAAAAGTGCACATGCGCTGTGGAAAAGAACACAGGAAGAAAACAGGATTATTTTGGAGAAGATGATATATATTTTTAAGGTTTTTTAGAAATTTTAAGAAAGGTGAAAACTAAATAGAGAATATTTAGGGTTTTAATAATGATTAGTGTACTTATGTTTTCTAGAATCCTTAATCCTTAAATCAAACTGGTTTCAATACAGGAATTTATTTTAAAAGAACAAAAGTTCAGTTAAAATAGGAAATGGATTCTTATGTTAGGAGTAGTTTATTTTTTGCGACTTTGAAAAATATTGTAATATTTTTTGCTCTATGGAGAATCGAGTAGAGAACCAGAACAGAGACAGGGACCCAGTTATATGTCCATTGCCGGCTTCGAAAACCGAACCGGACCCAGCATGAGGAACGGTTAAAAATGCGGTTAAACCTATTATTAGGTTGAAAAAGTTTTGCACTAAATTGAAACAAGTTGCTAAAGAGAGAGAGAGAGCGAAAGGGGATTTCCCCCTTTCAAAACCGCTGAAGGCAGGCCGCACCGCAGCAGTCTGTCTCTCTTTGGCTCTCTGGGGATAATTACAAATTGTTTGATGGCAGCAGCGGCGGCGGAGGGTTAAGGTGGCTGAGGGGGAGGGGGCTTAGGGCGTGTGCATTTTCACACCCGCTGGCCCGCCAAAATGCAGAGAGACAGAGCTGGTCCGTTCATCAATGAAAAACTTCCCTTTTTTCAGCAATTGTACCCTGAATTTTTCCCGTACTTTTTTTTTTTGCCTTTCGTTGCAGTTGCAGTCGTTTTTTTTTGTTCGTTTTAAAGCTTACACACAACACAACAACGTTTAACAATTTTGCCTCACTTGTCTCTTCTCTTCTCTTTTTAATTGCAGATGCCTATCGATCAAGCCACCAGAGAGGTAAACACACAAGTATAATAAAAAAACTATGGCAATAATTTCTCTCCTCCTCCTTTACGTTTTTTAAAAACATTTTTTTATTTCGTTTTACTCGTTTTTCTAAAGGAAAAAAAAGAAGAAAAACGTATCGAATCGATCGCATTATCATTATAATACACTTGAGAGTTTTTAGAGCGAAAAGAATTTGTTTATTAAATTAATTAAACTCAAAACGGAAATTGGGCGAGCCTTCAAGAGCGGAAGTGCGAAAGGATGTGCCAGAAAAAAGTGTAGATAAAAGTTTGAAAAACCGTAAATAGAGCATGAAAAGGGTTAAGAACTTAACGGTGTTAACGGTAGAGGGAACAGGTGTGTGGATTGATTTTTTAGATATATTTGGGATAATGTTTGGGGTTTTAAAAAGAAAGAAAAACAGCTAGCTACAAAATGAGAATATTTTCCAAATCATTAGGTTACATTTCTAAAGAAATTAGCTTAGTTTTAGTGGGTTTCATTACAAAACACCTTCCATTTTCACTCTAAAATACTCTTGAGTTCATCCAAATGAATTCTCCTTTTGTTCAAATCAAAAATTATGTTGCAATAATTTTTTATTATATTTGTTTGCCTTTGTTGGGGGCTTCTCCTATGGCAGCCAACCATAAATAATCTTTTTTAGAAACATATTTTTTTTCTTTTCTTTTTGGTAATGTGCTCATAATTATGAAAAATTATTGACACTGACATTTCATGGGCTCTCGCATGTGTTTGAAAAATAATAATAATTTTGTCAGCATTTGTGTGAGTTGCGCAGTTGGCTCAGTCAATTTCGGTTTTGGCAAATGGCAAACAATTGATTTTGATCACAGTTGACAGTTTGGTCTCCACTCCTCTTGCTGGCTCTAAGTTGGCTTAAAAACGCCGTTTAGGCCGCAGCGGCATGGACCAAAAGGCGGAGAAGCCAGCCGCCAGAAGAGCCTGGGCCACGACTCAACGTGTTGTGACTGAGCTGGTGGGCACACCTTTCCACTAAATTGGACTAGAGCCGTGCTCCACCGCCGAAGACTAACCGATCCGATTCGGTACCAGGTTTGCAGACCACAACTATGCAAATTGCTCGGCCCAAGTGGAAAATGTTGCCAAGAAAAATGTATTGAAAAGCCATCGATTGATTTGACTTCATTTGAGCTTAATTTGTTGTTAAATTTGTTTGACGATGGAGAAGGTGAAGCGAATAAGTAGGAGAGTTCGAGGAAATTTAAGAATTAGAGTATTAATAATAAAGTTATTACTGGGAAAATTCTAAAAAAAATTATTGGTTTTTGATAAAAGAAATATAAAACAAAAAAAATTATTTTATAGAAAGAAGAATATTATTTATATTCCATTTAAAAAATTAAATATTAGAACGAAACAAATTTACACCACACAGTTTATGGAAAGTACATGGAAAACTACCCATTCACAGATCAAAAATATCTCAGTATTAATACCAAAGCCAGCTTTAAAATCTTTTTAAATAATTTTATTTTGTTCGGTAAATAAAAACATATCCTTTTCATATTCTTTTAAAAAATTTCAAAATACAAAATCAAACAAAATGGCCGTTAGAATAAAATATTCCCATAAATCTCTCTAGATCGGCTATAGATTCCAATTCAAATTGATTACAAATAACTTAACACAAATTACGACAGCCCATTGATTTATTATATGAACTTCATATGCATAGCTTTGTTATAGAGAGACAGACAGACTATAATTTATGCTATCCAACGGCAGCAACAACAATAGTGACTGTCGAATGTCTAATCACAAACTGACTGACTGACAATCAAGAGATCAACTCCGGCTCACCTGAACTGAACTCGGTTCCTCGGGCTGTCAAAATGAGAGGCGGAAAAGTGTTGCAAGGAAACGAAACAAAAAAAACTCATTTAATTATATTAAATTTCTAAAATAATTTTTTTTTATACAAGATTATTTTTTGAGGTGTGAGCTTCATTTGGGGCATTTGCATTTTGCAAATTCAGCTTAATTGAGTGTAACCGAGTAACAAAAGCAACTTTGTGGCTGCCTCTGCCGCTGTTCAATCTAAATGAGGCAACAATAGTTCAATTTATTTTTTATAATAATTACAGAGCCTAAAACAAAACTGCACCCAACAGCATTCATATATATATATATTCTCTCAGCATCATGAGATGCCGCTTTCGGTTGAAGGAAAGGGAAGTAGGGGGCCATCTTGATGGGTAGCCAGCAAATCCATTGTTGGTATGGCATGTTTGTAACTATTTTTTTCTCTTTGTCCGCTGCTCGGTTTTTGTTGCGAACTAAATGAGTTATTAGCACGCCAATTGAAATTGAAGTGAGTGAGGAAAAAAACAACAAAGTATGCAAAAACAATTGGCAAGAAATCTGCATTAATGCAGTGTACATATAGCAGTTGGTCTCGGGGGAAATCGTCAGCCGCTCGAGGAAATTATAAGGCTAACTTGTTGTGGGCTGGTAAAAAAAAGAAGGCCACCCAAAATTCAAGATTGTTAATTAGCATGTGATTTCAATTTAAATTCTTGACTTGGCTACCAGAAATTTGCATAGGAAAATGTCGATATTTGGAGTGTAAAGTCGTGGAAAAAAAGTGAGAATATTATTTGGATTTTGAAAATTAAAAGTCTCAAGGAATTCACTGAAAACTTGTAAAATTTTGTCTTAGGAAAAATCATCCAAAATACAAAATATAATGGAATGGAGGTCTTTTTAAATAAAATACAATTTTATTTTTCAAAATTTATATATGGCAAACTGTATCTTTCTATCTAAGCCACCTTTCTGTATAAATTTCGATAATTTATACACTTCTCTGAGAAAATTCTTCTTCGAAGCCCACAATTAGCCGGAGAGTATCTCCAAGTCGGAAACCTCACTCTCTATATGTACTATAGAGTCCCAACAATGCCATGTCATTCGTACATTTGCATGTCACTTAACAATGAATACGAAAGTTGGCCAAAGGCAGCGGCCGACGAGCATTCTCGTTCCAATAACATTTATTGTTAACCGAAGGAAATTCGAGCCAACTTCAAGCGCCAAGCCAAGTTAAGACGAGGTGTATTCTTTCCCGGCTTCTTTCTGGGAATTTGTTGTCGGTTTTGTCGGCTTAGAGACAAATGGCAAACGGCGGACCGAGAGAACTCGAATCAATTTAAGGCTATGAATTCAATTAAAATTCTACCACTGCCAGAGCACTCGACATTGGTGATTGCAAATATGGAAATTGTGTGGCTGGCACACACATTTAATTGTTGGTTGCCAAGTACTTGAATCGGATTGCATTGATTTAGTTGCCGGCAAGCACGCTCTCCCAGTAGCACAGCCATAAGGTGGCAAAAAGTTGGCCATAAATATAATTGATTTGCCAATTTACAGCCTAGACCCGGGGGCTGTGGGTTAAGATCCAGGGAAGCGTATGGATTCATTCGCTGACAAATGTCGGGCAACGCCTCCTCCGCAATTGGAAAATATCCTTTCGATTTATGCAACTTGCAACTGCAACATTTAGCACAGTTTGGCGCATATTTTGGCGGCTGATACACACACACACTCACTCGGGTCAATAATTAACAACTCAGCTATCCCTTGATTATTGAAAAATATACCAAGGAAGGAGACAGCTGCAAACAGGTTCGAGCGAGGTACGAGGTTCGGGGCTTTCGGCTTTCGGCTCGGGCAACCGGTTATGCTCCTCCGGTTGTTGTTATTATTATTATAGCTCTTTTGGCAGGCGTACATTGGCCACAGCGACTATTTTGACAAATTGTTGTTTATTCCTGACTAAACGCTTGTCCGCCGCTGCGCGAAAAATGCAAAATGTTAAATGCAAAATGACATTTGCGGCAAGTGACAACGGTGCATAAATTAGTTAAAATAACCGTTGGTTTGGTCATAACATTTAAATGTTTAAAGAATGGAAATTGGTTACATGGAAGCTTAACTGCCTGGAAATTATGTTTTTAGACTTATCCGGCTTTAAGCATTGAGAGCAAATTGTTTTTCTAAATTAATTATTCACATTTTTAATTTAATTTGTTTATTTTGGGTCTTTTTTTTAGGTTATTTCTATTATTCTTTGTATTTAATATTATAAATTTGAAGCATTCAATTTGGAAAACGTTGAATTTATTTGAATTTTAATACTTTGGTGTGAAGTGTAAATAACCAAAAATCAGGCTTCTATCTCCAAGTTAAGTTAACTCAATCCCAATAAGAAAATTATATTTATGACAGAATAAAAGGTATTTTTCCACCTGTATACGATCCAAAACCTTTCTTTCTAACATTTTTATACCCTATAATAATTTTATTCAGAAGCTTGCGCAGTAAAGGAGGCATTTCCGACCCTATAAATCATATATATTTTTCAAAATATCGAAAAATAGGCACAAATTTGAATTTTTAAAAATCTTAAATTGGGTATTCTGATTTGTTAAGCTTTTAAAAATTAGTACAGAAAGCCCTTCCGAATTGAAATTAATACATTTTTGGCTTATTGATGATCGATTTTCAATTCAGTACCCTAAATCCTATTGCAAAGTTCAAGGGTATACAAACTTCGGCTACCCAAAGTTATATTTCTTTTTCATTATTGGTTGCCAACCAGATAAGCTAACTTTCCTTGAAACACACTACCTAGAATTCACTTGGAATTCATTAATATTGCACCATCATTACGTAAATTGCTCAACCCAATTGGGTTATCCAATCTTATCCGGACAAGAGACCCTATGCGAAAGACATATTCCGGCGAAACCGAAATTGTGAGGTCAAGACAAACATGTCAGCAGCTGAGCAGCAGCAGCAGTAACTGAAAACTTTCCAATGAAAGTGTTTTTTGCCTTCAGAACCTTTAACTCACTTCCCATAAATTCGTACAAGTTGACTGACAGACGCACGAGTCCCAAGCTTTTTTACTTTTTTGCACGTCATAATGTGGGGGCCCAACGGCCTTCCGATTAGAACCCAAAAAAAAAAAACACTTTCCCCCGCTGTTGTTTTCATTCTTCTCGGAATGATTCACGGCCCAGAAGAGTCTCTCTCTCTTTATTTGACCCGAAGGGGCCAAGACAACAACTCCGGTTTGTTTGTGGTTAAACGTTTAATGGAGCACAATTAAAATCCCGCTGCAAATATTTGCTGGGACAAAATATGTAACTGTAAATATTTGCCAGAATCTTTGTTATCCATAAGAACGCACAATTACAAATTGTTCAATGTTTCGCCATATATATACATATATGTATATAGTCCGTGCCTCGTAATTCATATCGTGCACACGATCATTGCTACCTGTGTTTATTTGCCTTTGTCTTGGTCTTTGTCTTTGGCGTTCTAAGGGGCCCACCTGTTTAACAGCGGCAAACATGGAATGAAGATTCCATAATTTAATTGCCAGGCAACCCAGTCGTCGCTCTATTTGATCAAGTACTATAGGTCTCTCTGGTTCCCCTCGTAGTATTTGCTGCAGTTTTCTGTTTTCAGTTTCCAAATTCCCGGTTTTATCTCTTGTTTGTCATAACTTCCACCCGCAGCGCCCAGCGCCAAGATGTTTATGACTTTTTCGGTTAACTATTTAGCTTTAACCTGCGTCAAGTATTTGCCCAAGACTTGTTTAAATATTTAATATACAAATAGCAGCAATTGCGGGCATAAATTACCAGAAAAAAATATAGTTTAACTCTTCCCTTTTGTGGCTTTACTTCATTATTATTATTATTATTGTTGGTGTTTCTGCCTTTTTTTATGGCACATAATTAAAATGGTAGCACGTTTTCGTTCTTCTTGTTTTTGGCCTTTTATTTGTCTCAAGTCAATGGGGGGGCTGCTCACTAAACTTGGCTAAAGCTTAATTAGGCAGTGCAGGGATATGTCTTTCGGTTAGGGGAAAAAATATTAAGCAGTGAATTCTGAAGATTTCAGAATAGTTAAGATATTATGGATGCGTTTATGGCAAGACGGGACATAAAAAATTGTAATAGACACTGGTTCTTTATGGCAATGCAATAAAAATAAAGAATATTTTAAGGAAGGGGTCTCTGACTTTAAGAAATTATTATTAACAGGGGTTTCCCGTGTTTCGAAAGTAAATAAATCACATCATTATCATTATCTACTTTAATTTTTGCTCCCAAAAACTCTCAAGTTATACCTGTTTAAATGTTAATAACAAATAATCCACAAGAAAATGTATCAGCACAATGCAGAAAACAGCAATTAGTATTTTTTTTTTTGTCGCTGAATTGTGATCACTGTGCTGAGGCATTTGACTTTTTTTGTACTGATACCACGGATATTGTCCATTGCTCTCAACCCAACAGTAACTCTCTGCAATTCCGCAGTTCCAGACCGGGTAGACCGCCCAAAAGGGGACCCGTGGGGCTTTCCCTACCGCCCACTCACCTATCGCAGCATCCGCAACTGAAAAAGCATCGCCTGGACAACGGGGATTATGCCTATGAAAATGGGCACATCAGTGGTAAGTAAATGATTATCATGTTGAATAAGCACTGGGGGAAAATTGTAGAAAAATTAGCTTAATATTAGAGGTTTTTTAAATAATAAATTATATGATTAGGTTGCTATTTTCATGTATTGAATTATGAATGAAAATGTGAAAGAGCAGTGTGACCTTAAATTGAAAAGAGTATGAGGTAGTGTGCCCTTTTTGCACAAAAATAGGTGAAATATGAATATTTTAGTTAGTATAGTAAAATTTTCTTACTCTTTTTAAAATTTTAATGTGAAATTATTAGAATGCTATTTTGGTTTTTAGATTAATTAATTAAATTGTAAAGGTGCAGTGTGACCTTAAATCGAAAAAATATAGGGTGTGCCCTTTCTTCGCGAAAATCACTACAATTTGAATATTTTGCTTAATATAGTAACATTTTTTTTACTTTCTTAGATATATTATATAGTTTTTCTTAAAAAATTTCAATATTACAAAAAAGAAAACCTTAAATATCCCCTAAAAATATTCAACAATTGCTTTCCTCTCTGTAACAACAATGTTTCCCACTTGCCACTGCCAATTGCATTTCTCACACAATTGAGTGGCATGACCCGAGGGCCCACGAATTCGCATTCGAATGGTAATGAAATCATTCGCAGATTGGCCACAAAACTTGCTTTCGGGTATCGGCAGGTAATAGTGCTTTCTGATTCTGTGTGCATTTTTCTTTTGTGTTATGTCTGTGCTTCCCCAATCGATCGATGATCGTTGCTGGTGCCGCCATTTGTGATTTGTGGTCGCTGCTTGTTGGCTGATTACAGCTTACTACGGCTGCCAAACCGAACAAAAACGAAACGGATACAGATACACAGATACAGATACATCGGTTGTAGTTTGGCTGAGTTCCCAGCAGCCACAGATAAATGGCAGCCTAAGCCGCAATCAAGTCGATTTCCACTGTGATTTGTACTGCTACAGGAAATCGCATTCATTGAATTTTCGAATTGTATCTGTGGCTGTAATTATGATAAGTACAAGCGGGACTCATATTTAATTGATTTTACATTTTTCCCCATTCCTTCTTTCTTTTTTTTTACATACTCTCGCATAGTTTTCTATGAGCCAAGCTGACAACTTGGTCAACGCCTCCTTCTATTAATGTGTCCGAAACGCACAATATTGAAAGATACACTCTCGAACGGCCACAAAAGCCCAATCGAAAGGAATCTTGAAATCTTTTTCTTTAGAACCATGCGCCGCCGGCGCCTTCTGAACTAAACTGAAACGAAAGAAGATGGGTTGTTTTTTTTGAAAACAGAGTTTCGGTTTCCGTTTTTGCTTAGTCATTCCTTTTGGCCATAAATGTGGAAGGATGGTTCTCTGAGTGAATTACGGGGCGTTGATTCTTGAGTGATATTGCATTATTAATATAAAAATGCGCACACACACACGCTCTAGCTGGCATTTATATAATTTTGTAACTGCATTTTCCCTCCATATATAGTAGTATTTCCCATGATTTAATTGCATTCCCCATGCTAACGAATTTTCGCCAAGTTTTTAATTGCATTTCGAATTTTTGCTTCAATTTTAGCAATTTAGTGAACGTTAAAGCATTTAATGGCACACTAAATTGTTCAGCTAACTGCATATATATATTCATATATGTATATATCGAGCGCAAACAAATGACAGCCGTAGATACACAGGCTAGATACAAAAGTATCTATGTATCTGCAAGCTTACCTCGGCCATGTGCGTGGGTGCTTTTAGTTGTTGTGTTTAGTCTGGCTGCCCAGACAATAGACAAGCTATATATAGATATACATACATGTATATATATCAAAAATATATATAAAGGGATGGACGCAGACAGGAACAGGTGTCAGTTGGGCGAGCCATCAAAATGAAAGGCAAATATGGTTGAGGATGGGCTTGAAGTGCATTTGAAAATTTTAAATATTTACCAAGGTGACATCGATTGGGCCTTTAAATGGGTAATAAAAAGTGTTTGTCTAGGGGAATTTTAGTTAAATTGTAAATTTAAGAATAATTTACAATCTTGACAAGAAGGTGGATATGTATCTTCATATTTAGAGGTTACCTATCTTCTTGTATTTCATTAAATATCCTTTATATTCCTTTGTTTCCCCAGATATGAACCGCTTGGAAAAGTCACCACTCCTGGCTAATGGCTACAATCCGCCGCCCATCAATCACATGGCCTTCATGCAGATGAACGCCCACCATCCTGGAGCGGCGGCTCTCATGTCGCCGGGCATGCCGCCCCATGGCCTACACGCCCGTCCCGAAAGCCAGATGCTAAAGGCCGCCGCCCAAAATGCGGGCATGTCAGCAGCAAACATGGATGCCTTGGCGCGTTCTGGGATCTGGGAGAATTGCCGGGCAGCCTACGAGGATATTGTCAAGCATCTGGAGAGGTTGAGGGAAGAGCGAACGGACGAGCGCCAGCAGGTGATGGGCGTTGGCTCCGGGGTGGTGGATCGAGTGGGAAATGTGATGGTCGGCGATATCAAGCCCAGGGATCTAAGCTCAAGGAATTGTAAGTAGAATTTGACTACAAATTTAAATTTAAGATTTTATATTTACTAGTAGAAACGGTATTAAAATCAATGTTATTTTATAATTAATTAACCATCTATTTCCTAACTTCCTTGGCTCATTTCAGGCTCCCCCACCCGCCAGAGTCCTGTGCTGAATCTTAGCAAATCCGGCGGAAATACTGATCATGGCGGCAGCAATTGTGATGCGGGTAGCGAGCGTAGCGACTGCCATTCGGTGGCGGGTTCTCCGGGTCGAGGAGGATCCCGTAGCCTGGACGAGGGCAGTCGCAGTGGGGGCGTTGGTGGTGTCTCCTCGCATGTGGGCAGCGGTGGAATTATCGGGGTGGAGGATGATGAGGAGGAGGAGGAGAACCTCAGCGACGAGAATCAATCCGAAGTGGATGAACGTTGCCTGGCCAAAGATGAAGAAGGTAAGTGAACTTTGCACATTGATTCAGAGATGTGCGATAAGCGATGCACAATGTACGATAAGACCGATGCACAAACGTGCGATAACCGATAACTGAGTTTCTGACACATTTTCTGGAATTTCTGTTGCCATTCTGACAGATTTGAGCGACAAGAAGCTTGATAATAGAGACAAGATACAATAAAATGTAGATGTATAAATTAAATAAATTAATTAAAATGTAAAAATGCATTCCAGCTAAATTTTAACAGAATAAGTAACTCTAATTTCAAATTAAAATATTTTTATTGCAATTTAAATCACATTAAAACATTAAAGCTTTATCATAAAAACAATCTATTGCCTGAAAAATGTATCTAATCGTTTTTACACGATTTTTAAAATGTTTTCCTCGATAGATTTGAGTGACACGGAACGTGATAACCTGTCCACGGGTTCGGCGGCAGCTGCAGCGGCTGCGGCAGCGGCGGCGGCTCACCAGCTCCACCAGCACGCGGCCTCGCACCACCATCAGGCGGTGGGCCTGTCACACCTGGGCGTTGGAGTGGTGCCCCAGCATCAAAGGGGCTCGCCCTCATCGGCGGAGGCAGCGGCTGCCGCCGCTCTGCAGCACCAAAGAGCCTTGAACTACTCCCAATTGGCGGCAGCGGCTGCGGCGGCCAATGGAGCGGCTGTGGGTGGTGGTGCGGTGCCCAATGGACCGGCTGGTGCCGGCGGCGGTGGTGCTTTGACCCCTAACGAGGCGCTGATGGCGGCCAACGATGCGGCCGCCTTGGCCGGAGGTCTGGCCCTGGGTCCCCTGGGCATTGATGCCCATGCTGCTGTGCCCGCCAGCTCCACGGAAACGCTGCTCAGGAATATCCAGAGTCTGCTCAAGGTGGCGGCGGATAATGCCAGGCAGCAGGAGCGTCAAATTAGCTACGAGAAAGGTGAGCTTTCAAGTTTTTTATAAACTTTTCTAAGTTATTTTGTAGGAATTTTGTTTTAAAGGATTTAAAATTTTAAGAGTTTATTATTGGAATAAAAAGCGGTTTAATATTTGTGACTAATTAGTTTTTAAATATTTTTTTTTTATTAATTTTAGCTGAGCTCAAGATGGACGTTCTCCGAGAGCGAGAGGTCAAGGATTCTTTAGAGCGTCAACTTGTCGATGAACGTAAACTGAGAGGTGAGTTTTTACTTATTAAACAAATATATAATTATAAATAAATTTTGAATTAAGTTTACTTATAATAAATCAAATAGTAAATTACACTTTTAAGGAAACTAAATTAAACTAAAACTCTAGTATTAAGTTTTAAGACTTTTTTAAATATTAAATATCTTCTAATTTCTTCTTTAAATCCATTTTTACCTTAAAAAACCAGTTATTCTTAGCTTCACTCCACTGTGAGTGCTGATGCCTTCCTAGTTGGGACACCAAATCAGACTTGACAGTGCGCCAGAGCCACATTTAGCTGCACATCTCCAACCATATCCACATCCCGATCCCCTCCTGGTCTTGGCTCTTGGCTCTCTGCCTATGCCGATTCCGATTCCAATCGGGCGCACTTAATGCAATCTGACTCAAATGACAATGACACCTGATATGCCGACTGTCTGCGTATAAACCCCGCGGTGCCCCCTTTTGGCCACCATTCCGGCTGCCTTTTGGCGCTCTGGTGGTCGTTGCCAAGAAGTAAAAATAAAGGGTTTTAAGGCTCAGAGGCTGCCGTTCTGTATTCTGTCCTTCTCGGGCCTGTTTTCAACAGAAATCACAATTCAAATGAATTTAATATCATTTCATTATTTAGTTACACTCGAATGATTTGGCAAAAAGTAGCCAGCAATGCCGATGACGATGATGAAATGGGAGGGTACAGCTTTGGAGTTGAGCATGAAATTCTAGTTGCGTAGCCATTAAATCCTTTAATTGGTTGTTGTTTCTGTTTCTGTTCCTCGAGATGACTTCTTGAAAAAGACCTTAAAAGGGTTGTCAAGGGTTAAGGGTTGATTACCTTTGTCCTAAAAGGTAGCAAAGGAGAAGAACTAAGCCTAATTGAAGGTAGCTTAGAAAGCGGGGAAATCCATTGAGCCAATTAACCAAAAATAAACAGGTTTCATATGACTTTTATATATATCTTTGTGTGTTTTGTGGAATTTAAATTAAAAAAAATTTATTATATTTATGTATAAATGTAAGAAAATATAATACAAAGTTCAGCTAAACATTAACACACTAACCTACTTTCTTGATACCAAAATTAAACCTCTTAAAAACCTGCCAAATTGGCTATTTAAAATCAATTTGCAAATCTACCAATTACCAACTGAATGCTCAATCATTTTTGCTCCAATTGCATATGGCTACTAAAATGATCCATTGATTGACTCCACTCAACACTCAATTGCAATTGATTAAGTTTATGTAAAGCCACTGCAGTTGCCTTAGCCCAAAAGGCAGCCCTCAAATTTACAAGCCGCCATTGAGCCAAAAAAAATAAAATCCAGGCTCCACCCAAAAAAAAGAAAGAAACTCGGCAGAATTACAATGCGAGAACAAAGGGAACCAGAGCAAACTATAATTGCACACAAAACTGACCGACCGACCGACCGACCTGGCCATAACTTAATCTCCTTTTCCCGTTTTTGTGGGAAAATTATGGAGGAAAAAGGCAACACATAAATCAGCAAACGAAAAAACAAAAATTGCATGCAACTATGCAAAATGCCACACACAGGCACATAGACATCTAATTGCAACTAATAATAACGCTGGCGATAAAAATCGCAGCCATGTTACTACGTCTCTCCAGTTTCGAGTTCAGAACACGGCAACAATTGGCCATTTGTAATGGAAGCGCGTGGGTGCTGGCGAAATTTTACGTAAACAACAAAAAAATGAACTAAAAATCGAATGGAATGAAGTCGAAGTCGAAGTCGGAGATGGAGATGGAGGGCAATGCCATGAACCGATCCTCGCTGAAATTCAATATGCCTGCAACAGTTTTGGATTTGATTTGAGGTTGATTCAATGGCTCCACCCTCAAAACGGCTGTCACCACGCTTCATCACATCCACAGCGATGTAGTGGAAAGGGTACACTCGAAATAAAAGTGTATAGAATGTTACTAGAAATTTAAAGTATTTAAAAAATTTGTTGCAGATATTAGTTTTTTATAGGAAAAGAGAACTAATTATATTTACCCTTTGCTCTTATCTAAAAATCATTGGAAAATAATTTATTTTATGATATTTTTCTAAGTTACAGGTTAATATAATAAAATATATATTATTTATACAGAATTTCATTTATATGAGCTAGTTGGAATTGAACTGAAATATCAAAAAGAAATAGTCCAGAAAGCGCAAATTAAAGGAATAACGCCGCTTTGGCTTAAAATTCTCAAGTACGAATTCAGCAACATACTGCACAGCGTTAAAGGGTGTATTAATAGGCTAATTTAACCGATTAAACCTCCAGGCAGCTAGTAGATTTATAGATAGATAAATAAATAGAAATAGATTTCAGTAACAACAACAAAAATTTCATTAAAAATTTGGTAAATGAGGGTAATTAAAGAAATACAGTTAACAAACTTCCTAAAAATATTGTACAAAATAATTAAATAATTTTTTAATATTCCCCAACATTTTTAATAAATTTTAAACTGTGTCAACATTAATTTACATTAAATTTCCGCAAATTTCTTGTTTAAAAAATATTTGAATTGCTATAGAAAATATTAACAAAATTGGCACTAATTCTTTCCGAGTGCAACATTATTCGTTTGTTGTTTCCCTTTTTTTTCTATGACTCGCGATCTGGAATGATTGCAAGTCAGGATCAATAAACATAATTGCGCCCACACACACGGCCGGATGCGCACTTGAATTGGCACACACAGGCAACGAGGGCCAAGAGAGAGAGCCAGAGCATAGAGCTAAGGCCAGGCCGAGAACGCAAAATCAGAGCCAGAGCCAGAGCCCGGGCCCACCGAATCGTTGAAATCGATCAAATTACCAGTTGCCAGTCGCAGATCGCTGAGATCGGCTCACGATCTATCGTTCAGAGTGGTCTCTCAGTATTTGTTCTTTTCCCGGGATTGGGCCTGTTCTTTGCCAATCTCCTCCTGACACATTTCCGTGGAAGGAGTTTCGTGTTAATGTTGCTTTCATGCCAGGGATTTAAGCCAAAGGATCAATTAGTGGGTCACGGATTTTCGGTATTACATTTTTTGGGTGGTATCTAAACTGTATTTTTTATAATTAAGCGATTATTTAAAAGGATTTTGTAATACAACTAAAGAATGAATAGGTTATTCAAGTTTAATAGGTTTATATACTGATAATTTGTAATTAAAATATAAGTATAGCTAAAATTTATATAAAAATACAGAACTTTTCCTTTGAAATCTTTTCTTAAATTAATAATCTTTCTCTTTTTTAATTGCAGTTCTCTACCAAAAGCGTTTCCGACGCGAACGTAAGATACGCATTCGCTTTCAGCAGCAACTTGGCGGCGGCAGCGGTGCCTCCAAGGGCAGCCCCAATGCCAATGGTAGCGGTGGCGGTGGCTCTGGATCCGCTTGCAGCGAATCCGAGGCTTGTGGGGGCGGTGGCTCTGATTCCAAATGCAGCACCAACAACAACAATAATAATAACAATAACAATAGCAACAGCAGCAGCCACGGCGGTGATGTAGAGGCGATGAAAGGTAAGTGTTAAAGGGTTAAGACACGCACAACGCATGGCTAACCGATGTCAAAATATATAATCCCAAAAATCCTACACAAAAATACTCCGCAACACTTTTTATGACATTTTTTTATTTGACATAAAGACTATGAAATTAATAATAATTAATTTGAATTTTTAAAGAAGCAGAAATTAAAAGTGTAAAATTGTGAAAATTCATTTAGTGTTTCTTAACTAAATTATATTTTTATTATTAGTTCGGGTATTAAATAAAGTAAGTCTAGGAAAATTAGAGATATATTTTATTTTTAAATAAAAATAAATTAAAGTTTTAAATTCTCTTCAAGATCATAATCAAAATAGATCATAGATCATTACCCGTTTGTTTCTGAAATAGGTAATCGTTAAAATATTGCAAAATCAAATAAATATTTCAAGCCTTGATGATTTAAATAATATTTTAATTTATCTAAAAATTATTTAAAATTGTTCCAAAATAATATTTATGGATCTTTACATATTATTTTATTAAAACGAATTTTTATTTTGATGTTTTACCTATAAAAATCCTAAAACAAAGTTTATAACTTCATAAAGTTTCTCATACAAATCAAGTTTCTTATAAAATTAAGCACTTTCTTTTCTCCACATCACCCTCCCCCACCCAACACCCACACAGCCCCCACCCAAAAATGCCAACCCTACGCTTATTTTTAACCAACACAGCGCCCTTTTTCCATTGATTTTCTTTCATAGAAAACGACAACGGCAGCGAAAAGTCAGACAAATCCCTGGGCTCCAATTCCTCCTGTGATGTTACCGCCGGACACTCGGCCGGTTCCGTTTCCGGTTCAATTTCCGCGGGTGCCAACTGCCCGGACTCGCCCACCCACTTCAAGCGGGAGCCACACTCCGATCACGAGGGCTCTGTGGAGCGTCAGCATCGCTCTTCGGCCGCCTCCCTGGGTGCCCAGGATGAGGAGCAACGTTGTGGCAGTCGCGAGCGAGACGAACGGCCGCCAAGCGGTTCAGCCGCCGCCGCTGCCGCAGTTTCTGCATCCGCATCCGCAGCAGCCGTGGCAGCCGCAGCAGCTGCTGCAGAGGGCAGCCTGGCCGCAGCAGCAGCGGCAGCAGCAGCGGCGGCTGCCAGTAATGGCAAGGGGCCATGGAGCTATCCGGGCATTGATCTAATGGCCACCGGGGCATTTTGGCAGAATTATTCGGGTGAGTTTTAAGAAAATTAATGATTTCAATTGACTTATTTATATATATTTTTTAAATATTTTTCTTGTAAAACTACCTCTTAAAATATTCTACAATTTCCCAAATATTTTCTTATTATTCCTCTCAGAATCCCTGGCCCAGGAGCTGGAGATGGAGCGCAAGACGCGGGCGGCCAATGCCGAGCGGGATGTTAAGAGTCCGCTGTCGGAGCGGCCGACGGCTTACTACAAAAACTCCGTGCTCTTTGGTAGCGCCAACTAAGCACCTGGACAGGTGAAGGTGAGCCCCTCCGTAGGCCTGGATATATATTCACACATATATATATTTGATCTCAGAGTGCAATCCCAACCGGCGGCTGCTCTTGAGGGCAAACTTTGTACATAAAAATAACCGAGTTAAAATAAGACGACTATAAAAAAAGAGTTTTGAGAACGTTGCAAACGTTGGAGCGGCCATTTTGTACATATAGAGAAATCATAGAGAAAAGATGCAAGAACTTCCGATATAACCCATATAGAGTGCTTAGATCCAATAACGTGCAGTAGAGTGTAAGCTTACAGATACGTTGTAAATACATAATATATATAGCAGCCGATATGAAAGACTTTTTATTACAAAAATGGCAAAGAGCTGAGAACCCAATTGGCAGTTAGCATTTAACAACCCAAAAAAAAAAAGAATAATAAGAAAACCATTTTTAGCATTGCTTATAAACACTACGATATAGCTTCAATTCGAGTATATAATTGATATATATGTATATGTAATTCGATCTATAAAATAAATGAAGTAACACGTAGATATTTAGGAAAAAGAAAGTAAATTTTACGAGCCGCTTTTTAGTGTTTTAAATATATGATTTATTTTACAATAAACTTTTTTTAAGGCTAAGATTTTAATTTATTCATTAGCTTTTAGCAGCAGGAGTGCAGTAAGGCCGTAATACTAAAAAAAAAACTAGCAATTAAAAACTAATTAACTTCAAGTATTTCACTTGCCTAGGCGGTAAACAATAATTCATATTATATATATCTAATAATAAATACTAAAAATAAATAATAAATGCTAAACGAAACCAACTTGTATGCCCGTCATTTAAAAATATGTTACAAAAATGCAAAAAAACACATACAAAGGGAGGAAAATGTTCAGAAATTGACATTTTAAACTATTTAAACGCTTCTCATATGCTATTATATATACACCCTATATATATATACACACAAAACATTAACTTTAGTCATAAACAATAGTCAAAAAGAGCAAATAAATCCGCGAATCAGCTGCAAACAATAGCGCCACGAAATATTGTGCAACATTTCGGTGCAAAAACACACAGAACTTATTATAATAAATACGATTAAAATAATACAGCAAACGACAAACAGGCTAACAATAACAACAACAAAAACACCAACAACAACAACAACAACAACCGTAACAAAAAGCGAAAAAGTTTAAAAATAATATATAATAATAAATTATTATTGCAAAAATAATAAAGCCACAAACTGTTGTTTTCATTTACATTTTTTGGGGGTCTATCTAGGGCGTGGGTTGTCAAAAATTGGTCTGATTGTTATTATAGCCTTTTAAATTTGGTTAAATTTTGTTATATTCTGTCTGAACTGGTTGGAGTTTTAAAGCCTTGATTAAATTGGAACATTTTTAGCATTTTGTTTGGGTAAATATATTTGAATTAAAATATAAACTCACTAAGGTAAGAACTATAATTGTATAATTATATTTTAAATTAAATTTGCAAATATAGTTTATAAACAGAAACTAGACTTTAAAATTGAAGGAAGTAATAGGTATATTTAAAAAAATACAAATTGTATTCATTAAAAAAAGGGTTTATTTAGACTTTTTAACTCCAAGATTTTAAAATTTATTTATTAATTTAATTCTGGTCTTAATTTAGGTTGTGGAAATTAATGACTTAACGAAGTCCCAAGTACTCAAAGAACATTTGTAGCATAGCCTTCGTTACCTTTTGTTTTAAAATAGAATTTTCAACAGGAATTAAATGCAAACTAAAGCTAATGTTGATCATGGATTACTGATGAGCTAGAAGTGATTTTCATCTAAACAATTGATATTTTAAATATTTTTTTTATAGACAAAGCCTAAAATAATCAAACAATTCATAAAATTATTCAAAAACCTTCTTATTTGAATATTAAATTCTTTATAAAATGTTACATTTTTCCTTTCAAATAACAGGAAGTTCTATTATTGATTATTTTTTTCTAATTCACACACCAAATTCAACCTCATAGGATGTGTGCCTTTGGGTTAATTGCTGTCTACACAAAAGCATTTATGCTTCGCAGATTAATATTTGTTGTGTGTGCTGCTGCTTGAGCCCCAATTTGATCTAACATATGCCAGTCTCTATGCGATTTTAGCATTTAATTATAGCGCTCAGCCAGGCAGACGTTCATCAGAGGAGCGTGAGATACTCGCAAAAAAAAAAGAAAAGATACAAAAACCAATCGATCAGCGAACCCGGCGAATTCTTTGTTCACTTTTTTTTTTCTTTTCTCTTTATTTTTTATGAATTTTGCAGACCATCAGCTGCGAGGCGCGCGTTTGGACAGTTATCGATCCAGAAAACGAACATATATACGCCAGATGATGATTTATGCGTCTGGCTTAAGGGGATCAAATCACGGCGGATCAGCTCTCAATCTGAGAGGAGACGAGACACAGAAACTGCATATATATTGTGATTATGATTATTGGTAAATTATATTTAATTTACAGTTAAACGATCACGTATATATTTACGCCAAAGGCTCTGAAGATCTCTTGGCCAGATCCCCACACACACACACACACACTCTACGAATCTGCGAATCCGATTCCGAATCTTTGTATCTGAGAAATACCTTCTTCGTTCGACCTGACCTCAATTATCGATTTAAGTTTATTATTGGTTTTGATTTGGACTTTTTGATTTTCGGGGCGCATCTTCGCAAAAAGTTGAAATTAAAAGGAATGCTGTTGATTGCTAGGTCCGTCGTCCGTCCCGAAAAAAGAGGTATGTGTCGCTGTATCTGGAGCATTAGGTGGGCAGGTCGCTTAATTCTCGTTAATTTCTCACTGGCAACGTGCAGCGTTTAGCTGATTGGGGGTTTGCTCGCTCTTCTCCGCTCGAGTCGGGACTTAAATTGTGGCAATCATATTTTGTGTTAAATGCATTAATTTTGATTTTTATTAAAGGGTCTGTGTCTCTCCTTGCCCCAAGCATACATAACTGTTATTGCGGCCTTTTGGCTGGAAACTGGTTGACAATAAATCAGAGTTATTTTAGAGGCGGAGTCCTGGGAATCCACATGAAACTGGGTTAATCATGGGAACAGCAAAGAAATTATAATTGGGTTTAAAAAAGAGGGAAAGCCTAGAAGAAGGTGCTTCTTATAACAGACAATGGTCAAGAGTTTTTATAGAAAATATATTACATTTTCCATCCAAAATAATTATTATAGGACTCTTCTAGGATCCTTGTTAGCCAGAACAACTTACTCCTCACCTTTCTCAACCCCTTTTTCCCAGGAACCCCTTAGCATGACCATGGCCATAGATCATCTGTGGAACATCTAACAGCTCTCTTTTATTGTAGCTGTTGTCTGGCCCCATAGATCATGATCATCTTCCCCCTTGGTGCCCATGGATCCTGGTGGATCGTGTATGCTGTTGACAAGCAACTGTCACCACCAGCAGCCCAGGCGCCATATTGTTGGGGGCTCCACTTCGAGTTCCACCTTTTGCCTTTACCTGTGTGTACCTACGACTCTCGACTCCAGGCACTTGAGGGCTCCCAGCAGAAGCAACAGCGAAATCCGCGGCATGGCAGGCAATTTCCACACACAAATAAGCCGCCAATTTGCCCCCACCGATGGGGATATGGATTTAGTCCATAGACCAGACGGCCGAAACAAGGCAAGCGAAAACCCGCCAGACACTACGTCAACACGGCAGACACGTGAACAAGGGTACTATGGGATGAGAGAGTAAAAAATTAAGCAATAAATAATGGAAAACATAAAAATATATACAAAAAAGAATACTTAAATTTGGGAAAATATATTTAACACCTTCAAAAAAAAAAAAACGCTTTAAAAATTCTAAATATCTTGAAATAAAATCTTTTCTTTCTTGTTATAACTAAGTTATTATTTATTTAAAGCTTTAATGTGATAAGAATTTCCATAATATTTGTAATAAATGATTTAATTCAACTGTTAAAAGTAAAACTATTTATTTATAGCTTTAAGATTTGTTAATATTTTCTTTTTTTTATAAATAATTTATTTCAAAAGTTAAAAATAAAACTAAATGCTAAAGAACTCCTTTGCTTAAAATCATCAACTCCCCACTGTCTTTGGTTGTAGAAAAAAGCTAGGCTTTCCTTGGCCGCATCTTCCTTCGATGACTCGCTGGTTATAAATCAGTTTGCGCGGCTTTTAATAAATTGTAATTGAGTCGCGAGTCGCGACTGCAGCTCATAGATACATTTGTATCTGCTGTTTAGCTGCTCGGCTCGACTTGGCTTGTATCTTTTGGCTTTTGGACTGCGATTGGGATCGCGTGTGGGAATGCAAAAGGTAAGGCGAAGATTCGAAGGCGAGTCCCGAGACCTCTACACTCAGAAAAAAATCAATAAATCTGGGAAAAATATTTTTATAGTATTTTATAATTTAGTTTGGTATACCTAACATCTTAAAGGGGACTAAGGAAAGATTTCTTAACTTTGATAAATAAGAAAATTTAATGAATCGCAAAATATCGATCTAGTTCCAATGACATATTTTATTCCATAATCAAGAACTTGGTAAGAATAAAAAAATACAATCTATGGTAATTATATGAATAATTTGTAAATTTATTTAATTTATGTAATGTATTTATTTAATTTATGTAATTTTCGATATAAAGCGATTAATATCGATACACAAAAATAATATAAAATCGAGTTTCTGATATTTTTAATTAAATAATAAATTATATTATATATTATGTATTTTATTTTCTTTTTATATTCACCAAATTCTTAATCACCCGTCTTTTCTCTCAGCTTAAACGATCGCTTTGGGTTCAGATCGGATCCTTTAGCTGCTGTTAACCCCTTCCCGTGTTCCTGTTGTATACATGGCACTTTGCCGGCTGTCGCCACTTCGGTTGTTCGGCTGTTGGGCAGCCCCTCCTCGCCTCCTTCCTTTTTTCCTTTCCCGCCGGCCTGCCATTGGCATGCTCGAAAATCACGTAATGAAAAATGTTTTGTGCGCAATTTTTCTTTTCATTTGTTTCGTGCTGCTGGTGGTGCTCTTCAGCTAACCGAAAGAAGGAGAAAAGATTGTTTTGTTTCGCTGTTTGTGTGTGTCGAGCAGCAATAAAACCCATTGAACACGAGTTGCTTTTGAGGCAAACATGAACAATTAATGCAACATATGTTAGCGCAAAAGCAGAAACCGCAAACGCAAGCCCAAGCCGAAGCTCGAGCGAGAGATCTGCAACGCGATGATCCTTTATGCATTTAATGGTCATCCAAACAAATCGAATTAGTTGGCAACGCTCGGCAGTTGGCAA